CCGCTGCCCCGGCCTCCTCCCTGTCCCCCTCGGCCTCCTGTCCCGGCCTCAGTCTCCTGCCCCGTCCCTGCCCCGCGCGCCGGGCTCCTGCCGAGGTCGCCAAGTCCCGGGGGCCTTTCTTCCCGCCCGGTGGAGGAGGGCCTCCCGGGAATCTTGCTTTCGGGGAGCAGAAACTGACTGCTTGGCGCGGTTAAAATGGCAGCAGCCGGGGATGGAGCCGGAGACCTGGCGCCCTGGGGCGGGTGACCTTTATTGCCGCGTCTTCTGCTCCTAGTCGACCTCCCACTGAGTGAGTGACTCACGGCCAAGACTGGATTACCTCGGAGTCTCTTCCTGAGTGTGAGAAAGAGAAACCGGTGCAGATGTGAATTCAGACAGGCTAGGAGAGTGCTGATGAAAGAGGCCACACTCTGTAAAAGATTTAAGGCGGTTTGTTCTGAGCCAGGAGGTCCCGAGAGTGTGTGCCGGCTGCGGTGGGATGGTAGCTTGGTTATGTACATTTTAGGAGGGCAGAAGCTATAAGCAACCATGAATCGATGCATATGGGATTCTCACTGGTTCCCTCCGGGAAGGCGGGACATTTCCAAGTGGGGGGGTGCAGGCTATGGGTGGATTCAAAGATTTTCTGACTGGCAGCTTGTAGTTCCTGTCTCAGGAATCTAGAAATCAGTAGAAGAGATTTCCTGTTGAGATGAGAGAGTGGAAAAACTCCAAATTTCTCGATATGTAGACAGACTTCACAGAGAATAGGTGTCTTAAAAGGTGCCTAGAGTCCCCAAAAGACAGCTTTACAGGGTCATAAGATACTTTGATTTTCCTTCTTTATCTGTTATGTAATTTTATGCCACAGTTTGGAAGATAAACCACATTACATAGTTAATTTTTTAAAAGTCTGTCTGGGCCGGCCTCGGTGGCTCAGCCTCTAATCCCAGCACTTTGGGAGGCCGAGGCGAGTGGATTGCCTGAGCCTATGCGTTCGAGACCAGCCCAGGCAACTTGGTGAGACCTCATCGCTACAATAAATCAAAAATTAGCCGGGTGTGGCAGAGCACGCCTGTAGTTTCGGCTACTTGCAATGCTGAGGCAGAAGGATAGCCTGAGCCCAGCAGATCGAGGCTGCGGTGGCCGTGAGTATGCACTCCAGCCTGGGCGACAGTGAGATTCCATCTCAAAAATTAAAAATAAAAATAAAAAGTCTTCTGAACCTGGAGGATTACTTGAGTCCAGAAGTTCAAGACCAGTCAGGGCAACATAATGAGACCTCTTCTCTACAAAAAATAGAAAAATTAGCCAGGAGTAGGGGTGTGCTCCTGTAGTCCTAGCTACTTGGGAGGCTGAGGCGGAAGGATGGCTGGCACCCAGGAGGTTGAGGCTGTGGTGAGCCATGATCGTGAACCCTGAAGTTCAGCCTGGGCGACAGAGTGAGACCCCAACTCAAAAAGGAAAAAGATCAGAGTTTAGTTATCGTTAGGAAGGAAGGAAAGTATGGAAATGGGAAATGATAGAGAAAAGATGATCAGCTTCTCAGGGAGGACCAGACTCGGACATTCCCCATCATTCCTTAACAGGAGGGGGCATGTGGCATTCCAGCTGAACAAAGGGAGAGAAGTCTGGGAGGAGCGTTGAGGAATCAGTCTAGGGTTGGCAGAGGAATATTGGTTTTTGCCATGTTTCGCTTTTCCTGCATGTATCATCACCAGTTCATCTGGCCTTCTTGATTTTGTAGAGTTGACAAAGACAGGAGTGGCGTGATATCGGACAACGAGCTCCAGCAAGCGCTATCCAACGGTGAGTGGGCTGGTGGGGCCTGCCTTTGGGAGCCATACTTTGCAAGCCTGGTTTGCTCACAGTAAATAACCTTTCTTCTGGAACTTATTTTCCAAGGACAAAGCAATCATTAAGATAAATTATTATCACTGTTAGTCACTGTTACGTGGTGACGTTTCTGTCTTATTTTGTGGAGTGGTTTCTTGTTGCCGTTGTTATTGCTGCGTGAGGCCTCGCCCAGCCTGCTGAATAGCTGTGTGTGTGAGTGTAGGATGTGCTTCTTGAGAATGGACGCCAGCATGTAGGTTAGGAGAGGAATGGAGGGTTAGCCTTGTATGGCAGAGATCCTTTAGGTATGCTGAAGGTCCTTGAGTTTCTTAGGTCTGGACACTTTGTGTCTTCTCTGGAGAGGATTCGCAAGGACACCCAGGGGTCATCACGTGGCCCTAGGGGGGTGACAGGGACTGTGTTTTCTCCAGGAACTGTGAAAACTCTAGGACTGGATTCCTGGGGAGGATTGGTATGTAGGAGGTGCTGGCAGTAGAACTTTGGGGAGACGTGGGAGTGTGTTGGGGGCTCTCCGGAGTTACGCTCTTGCCAGTTTTTGTGTGACTAATCCATGATAGTGCTATGAGAGACATTTTATTTTGTTAAACACCTGACTGCCGCCTTTTTTGTAATCCCTCAGATGCAGTTGTCTTTTCTGATTATTATGTTTCTAATTTGCCTTTCCAGAAGCGTGCCACTGAAGCTGGAAAAGGAGTTGATTTCAGGATGTTGTGACGATGTCGAAAGTAGTATCGTTAGTAGAAGCAGTCTGATGTTGCTGGGGACAGGACTAGGAGTGGAAAACTTGGCTGCTGGACGCTGCCTTGCTGTGCTGGGGCAGGAGTGAAGGAAACCCGCACTTTTGGCTCATGCAAGGAATCCAGTCTCAGTGTCTAATGATTTGTGTTACATCGAGGATTTGTACTTTCAGATTAACACACTTACCTTATAGAACAGTAGATACCACTGACATCATTTAAGCCACAGATACTGGCATATTATTTCACATGCCTATATATAGATTGATTCTAGGCACATAAGAAATTCCAGTATCTCTGCCCTGATGATTGTGCCTTCTCTAATTATTATCAGATTTTTTTTATTTTTGATTTGCGTCTCTGATGCTTGAGTTATACTCAGGGTAGTACAAGACAGGGATACTAGAAAGAGGTCGAGAGAACCTGGAATTCAATAGGCTACAGTTTGGTGTATCTCAGCTTGAAACTTTGTAAATGTTGACCAAAATGCATGACTTCATCGCATGATATGTTAACTGTGGTCAGATTCAAGTAGTCAGTCACCACAGTGATAGGTGCTGTGTGGAATACCCTCTTCAGGTCATGCCTCAGAGGCGTTCACTTTTGCATGGTTTTCCAGTGAGTAATGCAAGATTTATGAACCTTTTAAACAGTCTCCTTTTTGTCTGTTGGCTTGAATTTTTTAGAGTACTGACCAGGGTTAGGTTTTGTGTAAACTTTCCCAACTGGGAATGATGATCAAATACTCGACCTCACAGCATGCCTATCCTGGGGGGTCTGTCAGTCCTGGGGAGCTCTAGTGGAGACTTTGGGCCAGCCCGCTTGAATTCCAGTCCTGGCTCCACCAGTTTTGTAATGTGACCTTGGCCAAACACTTGACCTTCTCAGTGTTCTCCCAGGTACTGAGAGGGTAAGTTGAGGAAATGCATGCAAAGTACTTTGTATGATGTCTGGCATGTGGCACGTAGCAAACACTTGGTCATTGGTAGTAGCTAACACCATTGCCACTGTGACTGTAACAGGCCATCTCCAAGCTTTGATGGTTTTCCATTACCTAATGGTTTGATGTGGTTTCCACACATGGTGCTAGGAACTTCACAACCTTGTCCTGAGGTTAGCATTGTTGGGGGCTGAGGGAGACACCTCCTGTTCCAACATGTGTGTTCGGGCTGTTGTATTTTCACCAAAAGGTGTAAGTTCTGCCCCAGTTCAACTGGTTGTTAAAGAGTGTAGCTCCTAATCATCAGCAAGTATCTGTCAGATCATACCCTTGGTTTCAGCTGCTACCAGATGTCTACAAGAAGCCTGCTTGGGAGGGGGAAGTTTTAGCAGAATTGCCTGAAGGATGCTGAGTTCACCATTCCTATATACTTTGAAATCAGTGTCTGGCTTAACCCATGCTAACTGTGTATCAGACCCTCTCATGTGGCCCCAGTGGAGTACTTTTCTTGAATTGCCTTGGGAGAGTTCAAATTAACTGCCAAAAGAATTTAAAGTTAAATTTGTGGCTTGCCAGTGACAAGAGTTTAGAATTTTAAACTTTCTGACCTAGTCTTAGGTGCCTTACTCTCTCCTCAGCCAGCATGATTAACATTTACTTTATTTCTCTATATTTTGAGTATCTTTTTACATTTCTTCACTCTTTCTGGGATAAGGCAGTTTTTTTTGTTTTGTTTTGTTTTTGAATTGGAATCTCTCTCTGTTGCCCAGGCTGGAGTGCAGTGGCACCTTGGCCACTGCAGCCTTGATCTACTGGACTCAGGCGATCTTTCTGCGTCAGCCTTCCAAGTAGCTAGAACCATGCCATGCCCAGCCAATTTTTTTTTTTTTTTGAGTTGGAGTCTCACTCTGTAGCCCAGACTGGAGTGCAGTGGTCGCTTCCGGCCACTGCAGCCTCGACCTGCTGGGCTCCGGCGATCCTTCCGCCTCAGCCTTCCAAGTAACTGGAACTATAGGCGCATGCTACCATACCCGGCTGATTTTTTTTGATTTATTGTAGAGATGAGGTCTTGCTGCCCAGATGGGTCTCGAACCCACGGGCTCAGGCAATCCACTCACCTCAGCCTCCCAAAGGCACGGGATTACAGGCTGAGCCACTGAGCCCGGCTGATTTTTTTTTTTTTTTGAGTTGGAGTCTCACTCTGTCACCCAGGCTGGAGTGCAGTGGCTTGCTCATGGCTACCACAGCCTTGACCCCCTGGGCTCAGATGAACCTTCCTCCTCAGCCTTCCAAGTAGCTAGAACTACAGGCACACATTGCCACACCTGGCTAATTTTTTGATTTATTGTAGAGACAAGGTCTCACCAAGTTGCCCAGGCTGGTCTCGAACCCATGGGCTCAGGCAATCCTCTTGCCTCAGCCTCCGAAAGTACTGGGATTACAGGTGTGAGCCACCATGTCTGACTAAGGCAGCTTATTAATAAGGACGAATTTCTAGTTCTTTTCACAACCTCTCAGAGTTAAGTACTAGCGATGCTTTGTATGCCGAGTTACCTGCAGTAGCTCTCAAGCTATAGAGCCTGGATTTGAATCCAGGTGCATGTATTTCATGTATTTGGTACACCGCATGCTCCTCATGTTCGGCGTCATGTTTGCTCCTCACGTCTGAGCATTCACTCTGAGGCCCTGTGTTTCTCCACCATGTCTTTGCCTGATGGTGCCTACTAAATGCCTCAGCTGAGCCATTCTGTTCCTCAGTGCCCTGGGTCTCCCACTTGCCTGCCCTGGGCTCTGTGCTTGCTCCACTGTGATTGATGCAATAACCCCTTCCCTAAGGTGAAGGTGCGCTGCTCCTGCCACAGGCCCATCCCAGTATTTTTCTTGATGCTTGCCTTCCTCCTCTTGTAGTCTTGTCATTTTTGTGACCGTCTCACTGCTAGATTGTAGGCTTCATGAAGGAAGATTCATTGTTGCATTGTGTGTACAAACACCACACTTGTCCTTGGATAGCTGCATATCAGTTCTCTTCTTCCTGGTGCAGCAGCTCATGCCTGTGATCCCAGCACTCTTGGACGCCAAAGTGGAAGAATCTCTTGAGACCAGGAATTCGAGGCTGCAGTGGGCTATGCACTGCACTGCTGCCTGGGCAACCGAGGGAGATATTGTCTGTAAAAAAGTTGTCTTTGTTCTCTTCTCTGAATTTTTTTTTTTTAATTGAGAGATGGGGTCTTGCTCTGTTGCCCGGGCTGGTTCAAACTCCTGGGCCTAAGCAATTCTGCTTCAGCATCTGGAATAGCTGGGACTGTGGCCTTTGCCACCACACCCTGTGGAATTCCTGTACTAATATAATTGAAATTATTTTGATTTCTCATTGTTCTCCCAGAACTGAGCTTCTGTTCTAATAGTAAAACTATACTATTTCAGAAAATCAATATTACTGGTAGGAAAACTGAAGTTACAAAGTTGGATCGTTTCTCAACTTCAGTTAAATTTGTGCTTCTGAGGGCTCTCTGTTAAAATCTGGTTGAAATCTTGCTGAGAAAGTATTTGTGGATCCCACACACTGGTTCCTTTGTAAGACTTGTTTCCACAGGAGAGTTTCTAAAAATGACTGCCCTCAGGGAGGTCTGCGGTTAGCAGGTATGAAGAAAGACAGAAGAGGTCTGTTGTCTGGTCTTCTTCTTGAATAACGTGTCACAAACTATCTTGAGTTTGATACTTTTTTTCCCAACTTCCACATATTTCTTGGAATTATGAGAAATTAATTTTTCTGAAGCCTCTATTTTGTGCTTCTGAAGTAAGTTTGCCATAGCATATTGATGTATTGGGGGGAGGGCACTTTTTAGCTGTGCTTTAAACAAATAATAATTCTTATATTCTTTTGTAGTTTTTTTTTGTTTTTTTTTTTGAGTTGGAGTCTCACTCTGTCGCCCAGACTGGAGTGCAGTGGCCGCTCCCGGCCACCGCAGCCTCGGCCTGCTGGGCTCCAGCGATCCTTCCGCCTCAGCCTTCCGAGTAGCCGGAATTACAGGCATGTGTCACCACGCTCGGCTGATTTTTTTATTTATTGTAGAGATGAGGTCTCGCTGCCCAGGTGGGTCTCGAACCCGCGGGCTCAGGCTTTTCGTAGGTATTTTTATCACATAGAATTGTGGCTGTCTTGGTAATCCCATATTAAAAAGAACTGAGAAAAATCAAACTCTAGAACAGGACAGTTCCCAGTAGAGTACTATCTAGTTACATACTTTCCTCACCCAGGCAGGTTAAGTGTGTGATGGTATGTGTTGCCCCTGGGATGGAGCAGAGGGAATTTGAGATTGACCTGCAGCTTTGATCTGCCTGTGTGGAAAGGTTTGCTCAGCAATCCTGCTCAGACCCTTCACATTCCCAAGAAGGACCTGCGCAGTGATGGCCCTTGGCCGGCTCCCAAGAACTGAGCTCTTGGAATGGTCCGGCTGATGAGGGCGTTTTGCCACCAAGCCTTGAGCCACGCTGTGCCATGTTGTACCATGTCACCAGGAAAGTCTGTACCAACAGTGTGATTTACAGCAAACACCTACTCTTTCTCTGAGTGGCTGGAGTGTCTGTGACTGAACCCCAGCAAACCCTTGACTCCCAGGCTCAGGAGAGCCACCCTGTTCGCCCCACAAGCACGTGCGGTCACAGCTCATGGCTGGAGAAACTGCGCCCTTCCTTGCCACTTCTTATTCCCTCCTGGCCTTTTCCCATGGCTGGTTTTATGCTGTGTCCTTTCTCTATAATGGACTAACCACGAGTGTTGTGGGTCCCAGTGAGTCTTCAAGCCTTGGAGCAGGGCCGGGGGCTCTTGGGAACCCTCAGGTGATCTGTCGGTCACCTCGCCAGAGCTTCGAGGGAAACAGAAGGGTTAGGATTTGATGGCAAGTTTCTTTTTTTTTTTTTGAGTTGGAGTCTCACTCTGTCGCCCTGATTGGAGTGCAGTGGCTGTTCCCGGCCACCGCTGCCTCGACCTGCTGGGCTCCGACGATCCTTCCGCCTCAGCCTTCCAAAGTAGCTAGAACTACAGGCGTGCGCTACCACGCCCGGCTAATTTTTGATTTATTGTAGAGATGAGGACTCACCAACTTGCCCAGGCGGGACTTGAACCCGCTGGCTCAGGCAGTTCACTCGCCTCAGGCTCCCAAGGTGCGGGATTACAGGCTGAGCCACCGAACCTGGCTGATGACAAGTTTCTTAACGGCTATAGGTCAGTCATAGCATCTCTGACCTCAGTCTCTTCGGACATAACAGTGGGATGACTGGAAGTTTAGATCTCTTTCCACTCTTAAGCCACGCCTGCCTCCACCAGAGTCTGCTCCTTCTTCCCTTGTACTTGGGCTTGGTACAGAACTGCAAAGATAGGGTCTGTACCAAAATTGAGCTCACAGTGTTTCATTATTAGACATTTAGATGGTTTCAGTTTTCATTGACATAAATATTGAAGGGACTTGTCTCATTATTTCATAGAACAAGTTTCTGGAAGTGGAATTTATCAGGTCAAAGGCTATAAGTACTATAAATGCTGTTGGTCAGTGTTCAAATTGCTTTTCAGAAAGGCCGCATTTCCAGTCGTGGCTGTGTATGCCATAGTAGAAGGTAACTGGTGAACTATGGCATTCTGCTGAACCTGAAGAGGCACCAAAGACCTGGAAAATTCCATGCATTAAATACCAGTGTTGTGCTCTGAGCTCACAGAACTTCTGGGGGTTTTGTTTTGTTTTATTTTGTTTTTTTGAGTTGGAGTCTCACTCTTTCACACAGACTGGAGTGCAGTGGCCGCTCCCGGCCACCGCAGCCTCGATCTGCTAGGCTCCGGCGATCCTTCCGCCTCAGCCTTCCAAGTAGCTGGAATTACAGGCACGCGCTACCACGCCCGGCTGATTTTTGATTTATTGTAGAGATGAGGCGGGTCTCAAACCCGTGGGCTCAGACAATTCACTCACCTCAGCCTCCCAAGGCGCGGGATTACAGGCTGAGCCACCGAGTCCGTCTTGTTTTGTTTTGTTTTAAATAGAGATGAAGTTTCACTCTGTTGCCCAGGCTGGAGTGTGGTGGTGTGATCATAGTTCGCTGCAGCTTTGAACTCCTGATCTCACACTATCCTCTCACCTCAGCCTGCCAAGTACTACAGGACTTCTTATACCATGTCTTCTTTTTTTTTTGAGTTAGAGTCTCACTCTGTCATCCAGACTGGAGTGCAGTGGCCACTCCCGGCCACCGCAGCCTCGACCTGCTGGACTCCGGTGATCCTTCCGCCTCAGCCTTTCGAGTAGCCGGAATGTGCTACCACGCCCGGCTGATTTTTTTATTTTTTTGTAGAGATGAAGTCTCGCCAAGTTGCCCAGGTGGGTCTCGAACCCACGGGCTCAGGCAATCCACTCACCTCAGCCTCCCAAAGTGTGGGATTACAGGCTGAGCCACCAAGCCGGGCTACCATTTCTTCTTACACAGTTAATTTCTCTCTGGCAGAAAGGCCCAGAAAGTTTGGAAATCACAGAGTCTGATACAGGAAAGTAGAAGAGATTGCCAGTGGTGACATTTATAAAGTATGAGAGTTGCCTGTTGTGGCTTGTGCCTGTAATCTCAGCACTTTGGTAGGCTGAGGCAAGAGGATCGCTTTAGGCAAGGAGTTTGAGACCAGCCTGAGCAACATAGCGAGACGCCATCTCAAAAACTAATAAAACTTAAAAATTCCCTTTTTTTGTACAAGATTCTAAGTAGTTAGGCATTTCAGTTGTATACACGATGATGGGTGTGAAATGTTGACTTTTTACCACTCACTAAACTTTTCATCAGCCAAAATTTAGGATTCTGATTAATAGCACATACTTCAAGAAAGCGTAAACCTGGCAAATACAAAGTCATCATATTTTCACAGAACAGGAGATGAGGTAGGTTTTCCTTCCCCCCTTTGAGAAGGGAGTCAGATGTAAATTCTAAGATTCTTTGTGTGCTTGAGGTTTAAGTGGGAAAGCACAAAAACAACTGCAACGTCAGTCATTTAGGATGTTGCTTCTTATGGCTTTAGTGTTATCCCCAAATTATGGGTGGAAAAAGCTAGGTCTACCCAGTTTATGTGGAAAATAATGTGTATATTTCTGTTTCCCTTGGTTCTTGGAGAGCTGGAGTTGAGGCAAGACCTGTAGGTACACGAACAATCTCTTTGAAAGTTATAATCTGACAGGAAATCTGCTAGCTGAGTGGTTCTGGCATTACCTAAGCTAGACATGCTGGTTACTAGGGAAAGACTGGAATGCTGGAAGTCGTGGCTGGCCCAGAAAATCTGAGAGAGGATCCCTGGAGGTGATGGGAGTATGAAACCAGTCTTGCTGTCTTCTGCATCCTCCACTTCCACTGAGGCGTGGGAAATACTGCTTGTTCACGTGGCTCTGTGTTTTTATAGCAGTTTCCCCTGCGGGGAGGGAGTTGTGTGTATCTTAGGAGGGGTCACACTTCAGGTTGAGAGAAAGCCCAGCAGATGTGGCACTTGGGAGGAGCCCTGTGAGCCCAGAGTGACAAAGGGCAAGCATGTGGAGGCGTAGGGATGGCACCTGCAGACCCCATCACCTACCTTCCAAGTAGGAACCCTGACTGGACCAGGGACAGACCAGTGTTACTCTGAGACCAGGTGCCGTCTCTCTGTGCCGCCCAGAACTGTAGCTGTTTTGTGTATAGAAGGAAAAAAGGGTGTATTTTATACAAATGGGTAATGGGGAGAGCCAGTAATCTCCCCCACATTAAAAAATTTTTTTAGTTTATATTTAGTGAGCATAAAAATTATTGGAGGTGCAAATCCTTCTGAAAATAGGTTTTGGGGCATAGGGGTATTGGTGAAATTCCATCGCCACAGTTGATAAACAGTTGTAAGTTCTCAAGTGTAACAGATTCAACAGTGAATCAGAGAATAGTATAGCTTACCTATTCACAGTTTAAAGGAAAGTAGTATAAAGCCCAGGCTGCAATTTTAGTAAAGTATGGTTTTATGGTTTGTGTCCAGTGTGCTGCCTGAAGGAAAACTTAAGACAGTGATCAGTGCTTACTCCTGTATGTAGAGTTCGTGTCAGCAATGGCATCCAAGTTAAGCTCTGAGGGTCCCCAGGCAGGGTGGTCTTGATGGTGGGATTTTCCGAAATGATAACTAGTGAAGCTCCTAATAAAACTAAGTGCAACCCTTTCAACTTATATGGTGGCTGCATTCTTGGAAAATTCAGTGTCTATTAAAATAATATAAAACCATTTGTTGGTTCTGTGTTAAATAGGATCATCCAAGCCTCAGACAAGTATAGATGACTTTGAATGTCTGATGAGACGTGAAAGACTCTTATATACCACAGGACGGACCCTGACCAGGAAATGCTCCCCCCCCAGTGGCTGTGGCAACCAAACCATCGCCCAGAGTATCCCCAGGGAACTGTGCCCCAACCAATAGCCACCTCTCTAGAACCAAGGACTTACTTTATTGTGTCTCTCGTTATAGATCAGGAACTTTGTTTCCTATGAAAATGATTTTCGTTTAGCTTAATTCTTATTGTTATTTGTTTTCAGGCACATGGACTCCCTTTAATCCAGTGACTGTCAGGTCAATCATATGTGAGTATCTGCAGACAGACAAGTAAGAGCGGCCTTTCATCTGTCCTGCTTGGAGGCAGGTCTTGCTTCCCTTGTCTGTGGGTTCATATCTTTTTCTTGCTTCTAGAACTCTGGTTAGATGGAGGGCCCTTGCATTCTGCCCTCCCTGTCTGCACCTCTTCTCAAGTATGTTTGCTGTCACTATTTCTTTATTTTTATTTTACTTTTTAACCTGTCCTTTCTGTGTCTACTTCTAAAGATTACATATCTTTAAAATTTCTAGATTATATTCAGTTACTTTCAAGTCTTACCTGGTTATTTTTGATAGTCTTTAGATATTGCTTGTTTGTTTATACAATTTCTTTTTTTCTTCAAGTATTTTATATGGTAGTCTTTTAAATTTTAAGTAAATGTTTTTATTGAAGAATTGTAGGTACATATGACATATAGCTCCTTTACCTTGTGTTTCTGATTAACTGTGTGAACTCCTGGGGAGGACTGTCTACAGTGATTCTTATTTTGTTTTGTTTTGTTTTGTTTTTGAGCTGGAGTCTCACTTTGTTGCCCAGGCTGGAGTGTAGTGGCATGCTCACGGCCACCACAACCTCGACCTGCTGGGCTCAGGGAACTCTTCCGCCTCAGCCTTCCAAGTAGCTGGAATTGCAGATACACACCACCACGCCCAGCTAACTTTTTTGTGATTTATTGTAGAGACGAGGTCTCACCAAGTTGCCCAGGCTGGTCTCGAACCCCTGGGTTCAGGCAGTCCTCTCGCCTCGGCCTCCCAAAGGGCTGGGATTACAGGCTGAGCCACCATGCATGACCTACAGTGATTCTTGTTTCTGCTGAAGCTCACACATAGAGTAGTGGTAATTTCTTTGATGTTTTCCTGAGTTTTGTGTGTTTTGTGGCTTCATATGCAACCTTGATGTGTGCACACTGGGGCCTGTGTGAGGGTGGGGCCTGTGTGAGGGTGCGTCCTTCGGAGGGAGCCTGGGATCTCCCTGACTGCACAACTAGTAGGGATTTGAGCTCCAGGCCCAAGAGCAAATAGGCCTCATCTGCATGTTCTTAGGAGAGATTGATGGTGTTTCCAGCCCTCACCCCATTGCAATTTCGGATGGTTTCCTTAGCTGGGAGGTGTGGCTCCCTTCAGATTCCCTTTGCTGTGGAATCTTGGGCTTCATTCTCCTGCTTCTTGGGCCAAGGCATCATGGCCTCCTGGTGGTTCCCAGAGCAGCCTGGTGCTTGTTCTCTCCCCTCTCATACACATTTCCTAGTCCTGAGGGGTCCCTACTTTCCTGTGAGCTCAGCAGTGTATTGCAGAGTGTGTTGTATATAAGATACCCGAGTCCTGGGGGTGGTGGCAGGGGCTTGGCCTTAGCACTACAAAATATTTTGACAGAGGGTGGCAGCCACTGCCTCCCTGCTGGAGGGGCTGGGCCTGGAAGCTGCCCTCTGCTCAGCCCTTGCCCGGCATGCAGCTCTCCATGGTGCCCACTGTGCGCCCCAGAGCAGCAGACCTCTACCTGCCTGCATGTCTCATTCCTCATGTTCCACATACAGTCTGCATCATGGAAGAGGAATGTGAAAAACAGCCCGCCATTGCACAAGTGTTGTCAGTTGCTTGGAGGAAACAGACACCATTTTTCACAGTATTTTTCATCATGTGAAATTTTATTGAATTGTCATGAACTTCCGACCAAACCAAGATTACACATTGCAGTTTTACATTGACCCCTCTACATACACTGCTTACCTGAAGAGACCACATGAGTTATCATTTTCTCTGTAACAGCAATTCAGACTTTTCTGTATTTTCTAACCATCCTGCAATTACAGATAAATGTATTTATAGATTCTTGTGTGTGTGGGCTTGGAGTTAGACTGAAAGCTGCAGGACCAGGGGCGGGGCCTTTTTCTAATTAGAGCCAGCTTCCCTGACCTGGGGCTATTATGAGCCTGCACCAGTGCTGGGGGCCCCTGGAGAGTTGGAAGGTCAGCTCTGGGAATTAGAGCTGTGTTCGAGGCGAGAGCTGGGAGCTGGGGTGGGCCGCTCAACCTCTGTACTTGATTTCTGCCTGGTAGACAAGTGAACCCACCAGAGAAAGTGCATTTCAGAGTCGACTTCAGTGTCAAGTACTGTGTGTATGTCGATTGAGGTACTACCATTTGTGTGTGTGTGTGTGTGTGTGTTTTGGAGCCCGAGTCTCACTGTCGCCCAGGAGGAGTACACAGGTGATCCTTTCACCTCAGCCTTCCAAGTAGCTGGGATCATAGGTGCATGTCATCACACCTGGCTACTTTTAAAATTTATCTTGGGGACAACGTCTCATCCTGTTGCCCAGGCTGGTGTCAAACTCCTGGGCTCAGCAGTTTTCTCATCTCAGCCTCCCAAAGTACTGGACTACTGGGATGTTATGCTAGCACAGTCTGCCTCACAGCTGCAAGTGTGTGCTCTTCTCATTGGAGTCAGGGGCTAGGCCTGGGTGGTAGCTCCCTACATTTCTACTCTGGGCAGTTGTGCCAAGACTGTTAGGGACTCAGTCCCTATGCAGACAGGCGTTTATTAGCTGGCCCTTAGTGGCTAGTCAGCTGGGCGCTTGCTGGGGTCCCAAAGGACTGAGGTCTGACGGGAAGCCGTGGCATGAGTTTGCTGTGACTGGATCTTTCGCTGCTTAAGGTGGAAGTTGGACTTGATGTGTACTCTTGATGTTCCCCTTTGTCTCAGCCATGTTTGACCGCGAGAACAAGGCTGGCGTGAACTTCAGTGAGTTCACCGGTGTGTGGAAGTATATCACAGACTGGCAGAACGTCTTCCGCACCTACGACAGGGACAACTCCGGGATGATCGACAAGAACGAGCTCAAGCAAGCACTCTCAGGTTTTGGTAATTCACTTGTCTTGATTGCGTAGCATATGTCATTTTGGAGCCTTGACAGCCACAGAAGGTCTTTTTTTACTCGACTGAGCTGACTGATTTTTTAACCCAGTCTCTGTAAAATGTTGCTTTATGTTTACATCACACAGGTTCATATTTTAATATTATTTCTGTCATGAAGACTGCATTTGACACAGATACATTTTTTATCCAAAATGAGATAAGGGCTATGCAAACCAGCCATCTTTTGTGAAATGGAGTGATGTCACAAACAAAATTGAGAATGTGGCTTTTGAGACAGTTTAAAAGTGGATACGTAAAAATAAAATGGTAAGGGGAAGTTTAAATTTCACGATGCATCAAAATACGTGGAAACGATGGCAAAGTAGCCCCAAGAAGTGGTTCTGTACGCCATCAGGTCTGACTCTTGGTCGGCCCTCACTGTGTGCCTCAGCTGGAGGGTTGGAGGAGCGTGCGCCCATTCTCAAGTGCGTTCCACGTGTTTGTGCTCAGTGTGTGTGCACACCCAGACACACACGTCAGATTGGGTGTATGACAGTGTGCTGTGCCTCTTGGGAGTGTTCACAGAACCTACCCAGAGTGCGTTGAAGGGCTTCCCTGTGCAGGTCTTGGGCCTGAGAGGAAGATGGGATCTTTGTTGACAAAGAAAAAACTTTAAATGCTTGGGACTAGTCCAAGGCTTGTGATGGTTACACCAAGATTCTAGTTTGGGGTAATTTTATGTGGCCCATCTTACGAAAACCCTTCTGTGTTTTACTTAAGAGGCTGCTTATAAATGTCTTCTGGAAAGATAAGGGAAGTTAGATTATACTCTGTACATTCTAGATATCTCAAGTCTTACTAATCAGAAGCTTATTATTTCCTTTGGTTGTTACTGTGGCTTCTGCCCTCCTCCCCACTTTTCCTTCCAGCATGTGCTTTACCGCTGTCTTCTCCTTTCTCGCCCCTTGAGCGCACCCATAGGGCCTAGTGAAAGCCACTGGGAAAGAAGCTGTGGGCCAGGATTTTGGCAGGATGGCCCCATGTTGGAATTGGAATGCAGCTGACCTTGCTGTGCCCTTAGGTGAGGGGAACTGGCAGAGCCCTGACTGGTTTCTCTTTCCCGGGGAAGGTACAGAAGAGCTGGGAGGGAAGGGTACAGCCCTCCACAGAGAGGCCAGCGCTGTTCCTGTGCAGGGCCAGGGAGGGTGGGAGCTTAGGAAGTCCAGTACTGCAAGGTGGGGGTGAAGGCAGCAAGGACTTCTGGCCAAGCCGGCCCCTGTGAATATTGCTAAACAGGTGACCTCTAGTGCCACGAATGTCTTCATGTCAGCTTGTCAAGTCCTGGGCTCTCTTTTGACTCTGTGCTGGTGACCATCGGGTCCTGAGAACTCACAGTAGAAGCACTGATGTAGACAATGCTCCCCAGTCTCTCAGGCCCTCTGTCCTGGTCTGGCCAGCGACATTCCAGAAAACTGCTTAGCTGCAGCCAGAGGCATGGCCGGTCATGCAGCCTTTCCTCGGCGTCTGTAGCCAGCAGGCCTGCTCGTGCTGGGTAGTGACAGACTCCTCCCTCCCTTCCTGAGCTTCTTCAGGAGTGTGAATGTGCTGTTGCAGCGTTTCTCTGGTTGTTCTCAAGAGTTGCCTGCCATGTTTGACTCTTGGCATCCCGGGACCTCTCCTGCATCTTCTGCAGAGAGGAGCCTTGTCGTCCTTTCTGCATGTTGGTTCTTTTGCAAGATTTTCTGTAGAAACTGTTAGGAAATCAGCCTCAGAAGCAGAAATTCCTGTTTCATGTTGACCCCCAGGCACAGGTACTTTGCTCCTACGTAAACCAGGGATGCTGTACTTCAGCTCATAACAGGCTTGAGGGAATCACCGGGCAGTGGAGCCTGCAGGATTTCACTGTGGTGTCTTGGGCCAACCTGGAGCACTGTGGGACTCTTCGGGGCCACAGGGTGGATTTTACGATCCTTCCAGGCATTTTCTTACGCCTTTATTACGAACACGGTGTGCCAGGCAGCAAGACCTGGAATGAGAAGAGGGGCTTGTCCTCCTGCTCTGTGATTCATTGCCTGGCGGGAACTGCCCACCTCAGCAGGTGCAGCTAGGGTTGTCAGTCTACTTGGAGGCCAGTGCACATGTAGTAAACGCTCTTTCGGGCAGCGCATGTCTCACAAAGGCAGTTTCACCACCCAAGTTCCCACTCCGCAGGCATCTCCTCCCACCACCCAGCCTTCGGCAACCATTGCCTGTTTTTATGAGGAAAAATGTGTTAAAGTATAACAGACCTCCATTTACCCATCACCTATTTCAGCTTTCATCCATCTTGCTGCCATGTCTGCTTTTCCCCTTTTTATGGCTGAAGTGTTCTAAGAAACGCAGGACCAGTGTATTTTCCCAGAGCACTCACCCTGTCTCTGGAGCATGAGGACACTTGCATATGAAGGCACTGTCATTGACTTACCTTTTGGTGTTGTCCCCGTGCTTTTTTTATGGTTGTTTTGCCTGAATTGGGCTCCTGGCAAGGCCCACAAGCAGCTCCACCCCTTTTCTTGCCCTTGGCTGTTGGCACCCTGTGCCACATGTGGGTCATGTGGTGCCATTTAACTCACTGCCCTATTGGCACGTTTGCTGTATGCTTGTGGTTGTTACTGATTACCATCCAACCTTTCCCAGGTGGCCACACGGGGACAGGCTGGACTGTGCCGTTTGTTGGTGCTGGGGTGCCAGTGAGTTGGCAACTTGCAGCCCTGTGCTGACTGCCCCCTCACAGGCTTCACAGACTGACTCAGACATATCTGCAGGGAGGCTTTCTGGCAGTGTCACCTTTCCTTTTGCTGGTTCTTAGGTAGAGAAGGTGTTTGTTCTATCCACAAGGGCTTTTTGGATGTTGGAAATACAGATGCGAGGAGAGGGTATTCCTGTCCTTACTGGATAATGCTGCCGTCACCCTTAGGGTCCTGTAGGATGGCGTGCCGGACAGACACGAGATGGGCTGGGGGTGGAGGAGCCCCACACTGCCTCACTCTGACTGTACAGGCTGAGGGAGGGTCCACACTTCCCACAGGGGGCAGCCAAGCTCATCTAGTTTAGAGTTGTGGCTCTCGGGGCCTTGTCCTACTGGGTGGGGCAGCTTGTTTTTCCTGGGAGGTGGAATGGTGATTGCTGTGGAGGCCGAAGCTTGGCTTGTCTCATTCCTGGTATTTCCAGAGTCAGAGAGCTTTTGTCCAAGAGCGTGACTCTAGAGGGGTGTATCAGGTGCAGCCTTGTGGATGCCGTGGCCCTCTAGCTGGTGCTGGCAGAGAGCCCCTCTGCATTCCAAGGGTGGTGTTTCTCTTACATGGACTTTTGTGAAAGGAAATTCTTAGGGAACAGTTGCTGCTGGGTTTTGGCTTCTTAGATACATTTTCTTCTCTTACTAGTTTGGCTTTTTGTTCTCCCTACAATATTACTGCTGATCAGGGAAGTCAGAGGTGGATTCTTGGGGCAGTAGACTTGTTCCCATTGTCTGTGCAGCCTGGACTCCTGAGCCTCTGTCACCATCTCCTCTGTCCTCTTCAGTCTCGGCAGGAGGCCCATGATGACTGCCGTGCCCTGTGCACATTTGGACGGGCCGGCCCTGGTGGCTGTGTCCCAGGTCCTGTTCTCGGCGCTCAGGGCTCAGCCTGGACATTGCCTGGCCTGCTCTGACAGGTGTGGGGAGTAGGAGATGGGCTGGGAGAGGTGAAGGAGAGTGGTGACCTTTCACAACCCTGCTGTCCCTTTCTGGCTTGAGCTGGGGTTCTGTCTTCTGCTCAGCTTGCAGGTAGGGGGCCCAGATTGACTCCATGACTTGTTTAGGGGCCCATGAACCTAAGTCACAAGACGCCCTGACTGCTCTGGAAGGTTCTGTGTACATGCTGCATGTTTTCATTTTGGTCAGTGGAGTGGCTAAGCAGTCACGCAGGTGATTAACTGAGATTCACTCAGACAGTAGGTGCACGTGTCCTTGCAAAGGTTCCAGCAAGACTGAAAACAGTAGAACATGTTGGCACCTGGATCTTGTCTCCTGAATGAATCAAGGATGCCACGGTCACACAGGTAGTGGGATTTCAGGGGAGAAGGGAAGGAAGCAGGCGAGCTGTGCCCTCCATGTGTCCACAGCCATCCTGGCCCGAGGACGTCCAACGTGTCCACTTCTCTTCAGACTCTCTTCCTGCGGAAGAGCGGGGCCTTTTCAGAACATGCTCATGGAACAGGCAATGGAACCCTAACACTTGATGACCCTTCAAGAGACTTTGGCCTTTCCCAGGCCAGCTTGGCGATCCCCGGTGTCAAGCACGTGTCCACCAGCCACTTCTGTGTCCTTACAATGACATTTTGTTAGCTGAAGGCCTTCTGTGATATTCTGGCTTTCAAAGCATTCTCTAGTGATAAGCACCCAGGGCATCGAAGCATGCAGAACTTTCACATCTATAGCGATACATGTAATAAAATCAGTAGAGGACATGTTAAAATGGTAACTCCACTGGGTGGCAGAATCTAAGCTTGGCTCCCCTGCGGGTGTTTTTTGGGTGCTTCCTTGGGATGAGTGCAATTAATTGAGTTCACAGCCGATGACCTTTAGCCTTAGGACAGTGACAGCTTTCAAGTCACTTCTCCTTCTGGGGAGATGATCTGTAATAGGTCACTTTGTGTGCTGCAGACGTGACTTTATTATGAGCAATGTATTTAGGGAATATCTCGTAGTTCTCAGAGTGCCTTGAATGAATTTGTACTTTTATTCCCACCCGCCCTGCGTCATTTGGTGCTGTGGAGTCTTGGGAGGGAGGGCACGGGGCTGGCACCTCTCGTGACTCTTGACTCTGATTTTCCCTCTTCAAGGCTACAGGCTCTCTGACCAATTCCACGACATCCTCATTCGAAAGTTTGACAGACAAGGTCGGGGGCAAATCGCCTTTGATGACTTCATCCAGGGCTGCATCGTCTTGCAGGTGACCCAGTGGCCTCATGGGCGTTGCTGTGGGTGGACGGGGGTATCCCGTCAGGGCAGGGTGCCTGACTTCAGTGTAAGGGATCGGGCCTGTGGGGAACTAGTCTTGGAGCTTTTAAAAGTTAGTCTCATCTTTGAGAGATAACTAGTTGATGGAAGCGTAAACAATAGTTTTCTCCCCTTGGAAATATAGAGCAGTCCACTCAGAAGAGGTGGCTTATTTTTTAAAATTTTTTCAGTATTGGGGGTTATTTACACATATGCTAGGGTATATTGTGTTTTTACAAGAAACTCGTATCCTGAGAAAATGGGCACATTTTCTCTTGTGATTGTCACCATGTTTTGCCTTCCAGTAAGAGAGAAGCTACAGGCCCAGGCACGTAGGCCTCCCTCACTGGGGTCTCAGGACCATTTCTGTGCACACCAACGCCTGACAGAGCTCATAGTTCACACTGGCCCCCAAGGCAAGCTCTGTGCCTGGGATGTTCCTTTTCCTTACAGCGATTCTGTGATGTCCAGATGTCCATACTGCTGCTCTCTCACCTTGCCAACGAGAAAATGAAGGTGCAGAGGGGCTGAGGGACTTGCCCAGAGACCCACTTTAGATGAAGACCAGGACTAGGGGGCCAGCCTGGCTGCCTCACACAGGCCAGGGTTGCTGCTCTTTCTCAGTAGGGATCAGGTTCCGTGGATTTAAGCCTTAGAAATGCAGTGGATTGGTGGACATTTGCTATCTTTCAAAGTTTTTATCAGGACAGATTTCAGACAAAAACAATGGCAGAGAAAATAGTTGGATGCACTCAGATTTAACAAATTTCTTTTTTTTTGAGTTGGAGTCTCACTCTGTCACTCCAGCCTGGGAGTGGCATGCTCACAGCCACCACAGCCTCGACCTGCTGGGCTCAGGAGAGCCTTCCAAGTGGCTGGAACTACAGGCACACACCACCATGCCCAACTACTTTTTTTGATTTATTGTAGAGATGAAGTCTCGCCAAGTTGCCCAGGGTGGTCTCCTCAGGCAATCCTCTCACCTTGGCCTCCCCAAGTACTAGGATTATAGGCGTGAGCCACCACATGTGGCAGATTTATCGATTATTAACTCAAGGCCAGTTAGGTATATAGCACACCTCCATGTACCTTCATGACCCCCACCCTGTTATTCTGTAGCAAATTCCATTTTATAGAACCCAAATGGTTTTCCATAAAAACTTCAGTAGAACTTGTTTCTCAAAGGTAAGTGTTTATCGTTTTACTCCAAGTTGAGGTCACATCTTGTTGACCTTGGAATCCATTGAGAGATGTGAACAGCATGAGGTGTTTAGATGTAATGTGGAGTTTTGGAAAATGTTTTCAGATTTTTTTCTAGTTAAAATGATAGTAAAAGAGAATTTTCTCTGATTTGGCTTGAATACATCAGTCCCTGTTTTTCTGTGATTTGTTGGAGAACCAGGTCTGTTAACATGGAAACTTTAGACCTCTAAAATGGGGAGAGATATATACTATTTCTGCCTCTCAGGGTTCCTGTGAGGCTGGATGACATTTTTGCAGTGTTCTTTGAACACTGTGGAGAAAGGCACAGTGTGAAACTCTCATTATGGACGGTGTCTGAGTCACGGTAGGGTTGGGATCTTCATTTGAGATTGTAACCCGTGAGTCAACATCTGATCTCCAGTGGACTTCTGGCACCTGGTCCCACAGGGAGTCCTGTGGTCAGCACGCCTCCTCGGCCCCTGCTCCTTACCATGGGGGGCAGCCTGGCAGCCAGTTCCTGGGCCTGCCCCACCCTCGGAGGGTGAGCCTAAGTGCCAGGTGGAGGTAGGGAATTAAAGAAAGCTGCGGCCTCAAGTAAACATTTCCTCAAAAATGTTTGCATTTATCTTCCTTTTTCCAAAAATAAGGCTTTTTGAAAATTACTTTTTATAAAATAACATGAAAACTTGTAGTCATCTTAGAAAAAAAAAGGTGTGAAAGAAAATTACCCATTATTCTCTAAGCCAGCGTTTAGTACAGGGTGTTCTTGAAGTTTGGTGCTGGTGTTCCCACACACATGCTGGGATGCTCACATAAGGTGCGTGGGCCTGTGGGAGTGAGGCTGCAACCCTGCTAGGTGGGGGAGTCTGGGGGAGGCAGCCGCTCTCTCAGGTCCCTCTTTCAGGTGCATGTAAGTGGAATTGCTCTGTGCCTGTTTTTTCTTGTTAAAATTCTTCAAGCTGGGCACAATGGCTCACACCTATAATCCTAGCACTTTGGGAAGCTGAGGTAAGAGGATTGCCTGAGCCCAGGAGTTCAAGACCAGCCTGGGCAATATGGCAAATACTCATTTCTACAATACATAAAGAAAAAGTTAGTCAGGTGTGGTGGTGCGTGCCTGTAGCTCCAGCTACTTGGAAGGCTGAGACAGAAGGATCGCTGGAGCCCAGCAGGTTAGGGTGTTGTAGCTGTGATCATGCCACTGCACTCCAGCTTAGGAGACAGAGTGAGACTCCAACTCAAAAAAAACAAACAAACTTCAGAGTTGGCTGGGCATGGTGGCTCATGCGTGTAATCCCAGCATTTTGGGGGAGAGGCAAGAGTATTGCCTGAGCCAGGGGTTCAAGACCAACCTGGGCAACTTGGTGAGACCTTTACTATAACTTTAGTTACAGTAAACTAAAAAAAAAAAAAAAAAAGCCAAGTGTAATGTTGTGCTCCTGTAGTTTTGGTAGCTTGGAAGGCAGAGGCAGCAGGATCACTTGAACCCAGCAGGTCAAGGCTGCAGTAGCTCTGCCATCTGGAAACAGACTCCAACTCAAAAAAAAAAAAAATTCTTCAGAGCACTTGACAGTTGCCATGAGTCCCTCATCTAGGAGTGGCACTTACTCATCTCTACTACAGGGGTGTGGGTGGTCACCTGTCTCTGCTTCTCAACCTAGCCTGGATCCTGTTGCTAGAGGGAGAAGCAGGCTGGCAGGAAGTGGGCTGGGCCCTTCGTGATATCACATGCCACTCCAGGGCTGGGCCTCCCCTGCTGGGGGCAGCTTCCAGAGAGAAGCTGAGGGAGGCTGGTTCCCTGTGTCCAGAGTTCAGGTGCCTGCTACAGCTGAGGCAAGCTGCTGGGGAGCGGCCTTCCTCAGGACAGTCTTGGAGTGGGAGAGAAGGGCCCAGTGCCCCTCCTCTCCCGAGCTCACCCGGGGCTGGTATAGCTGAGCTGGGCCTGCAGCCCTGTGTCTTCCCTCCCCCACCATTCTGTGTCCTCCATGGTAGACAGCTCTGACAGAGGGAGTGTTTGGGGATACCCTACCTGTGCCTCCCTGTGCTAGGCTCCATCTGGAGATGAGGAAGCATTGTGCTCTGAAACTAGGTTCCTGAGTGTCTCTCACCCCCACGCCCATTCATCTGTTGACTGTCAAAACCTGAATGCCTGTTTTCTCCCTCAGAGGCTGACAGATATATTCAGACGCTATGACACGGATCAGGACGGCTGGATTCAGGTGTCTTATGAACAGTATCTGTCCATGGTCTTCAGTATCGTATGACGCTGGCCTCTGGTGAAGAGCAACTTGACTTGCGGAAAGAAGACCCAAAATGCCAAATCTCTGACCGTAAATGGAACGGAACACGGATGCAGTTAGACACTGTTCTTCCCTTAGAGCTTACCGTTTGGGGACCTGGCTGTACATATGTGGATAAGCTGATTCACGTTTTGTAATTGTAACCATAGCTACGTCAGTACCATATACACATTGGATTTCCCGTTTCCTTGTGCCATGTGGTAATGTAATAATGCTTCAGGTTTTCTGCTTGCAAAGAAATGCATCATGTGCTTTTCTAGCTATCTCGTTCTATAGTGGAAATGCTTTTATTAGCCAATAAGAATTTCAAAGTAATACGGAACTTGCACAGAAGGCTTTTCATGTGCCTTACTTTTTTAAAAAGGAGTTTATTGTACTCATTGGGATATGCAATCTAAGCAATAAAGGAAATACTAGACTCGTGGTCGCTTTCAGCCTTTCATATCAATAGGTTCAAGGAGTGAGCCCTGTGCCCCAGCCATCCCAGGCCTCGTCCTGACGTTCACCATGTCACATTCACTGGCCTACCTTCTGGAATATTCTCCAGCCCAGCCTGCATGGCTTTGGTTTTGAAAATCCAGAGACTGGCTATTATAGGAGTTAGTTTATATGTTCTTTATATGGATGAACAGACCCAAATTGGTTTAGAAGGTTGTTTCTGTCATTTATTAATGATTTCACTGCACTGCGTCTTGCCATTGGCTAATCGCAGTTTTCAAACGTGACCCAGAGCACATGACACAGCCAGGCATGTCTATCACCAACCAGTTCACCGCCTCAGCCATAGCCAGCGCCACTGACCTGTCTCCTCTCTGCCTCCTCCACATCTCTGTGAGTGTCTGGAGTACACCCAGGATGAGGTCGGTTCTCACCATTCCCATCACTGCAGGCATTCGGTCGTGTGCCCGTTGTTAGGCTTGTTCTGTCTGCTCCGTGCCCATGGGGGTGTGAGCAGGACAGGGAGCTCAGACCCAGCACATAGTGCAGGCATGCAGGTTTGTGCCAGGCCCTCGTGCTTGGGCCTGTCCCCCTTTGGCATCCTCCCCATAGCTTTCTGTACCCCTTGTTGCAGGTTTTTCCATCTCCTACTGGGCATGTTTTCTTTGTTTTTTTGGTTTTTGGAGTAGAAGTCTCACTCCATCACCCAGGCTGGAGTGCAGTGGCACAATCACAACCACTGCAGCCTTGACCTCCTGGGCTCGGGCAATCCTTCCACCTCAGCCTTCCACCTAGCAGGAACCACAGGCACACACCACCATGCTCGGCTATTTTTTTGATTTATTTAGAGATGAGATCCCACCAAGTTGCCCAGGCTGGTCTTGAATCCCTGGACTCAGGCAATCCTCTTGCTTCCGCCTCCCAAAGTGCTGGGGTTACAGGCATGAGCCACCATGCCCAGCTTACTGAGATGTTATACTGGGCAATCCAAGGCTTACTCTCCTGGACTACTCTTCTGGGCGTTTGCTTTCCACGGTGATGTGTCTGGTTTCGCAGTTGCAGTGTCTTGTCTCAGAGTAACGTCTGCTCTAATGTTACTCCTTCCAGGCTGTCCGGGTGTCCCTTTCTCTGTTCATTTTGGATCCTTGTGGGAAGGCTTCTGCCTACTGAAATTCCTGGTCTGTCTGGGGACAGTGGGGTTGTTTGGGGGGGTGGGTTCTGGAGAAACCTTCCAGTCTGGTGGGCGCTGGTCACATTTGCCCTGGACAGGACCCTCTACCTGCCCTGTGCCTGGTGCCCTGTAGATGTGGTTCCCTCTGGAAGACAAACTCCAGGCTGGCTCCTTGAGGGTGAAGGGTGGATGTGGGCTTAAGGGTCCCACTGCTCCCTCTGGTCACACAGCCAGCCTGTGCCGACCCCATTCTCTGGTGCCTGGGTCCATGTTGCCCCGAGTTAGCGTGGGGCTCGCCCTGCACTGTCCTCATCTCCACAGTGGTCACTACTGGGGGTGCCCACCTGCTGGGGCGCAGGAATCCTTGCTACAGCCGTCTGCACTATCTGTGGCACATGAGTCTGTCCTGCTGATCTGGTAGGGGTGTGTCTCCTAGGTGTCCACCAGCACCTGCAGCCTTTGCCCCCATGTCCTCTCGCAGCACCTTGTCCTGACACTCTGCTGAACCAGAGTTTACATGAAGGAAGTGGGGGGGTGCTCAGGCTTTCCAGGAGGTCATGAGGACGTTTGGGTTCTGGTGGGTGTCGCTGGTCGGAAATTGGGCTTCCATGGGGTCCACTGGGGCCTTGTGTGGCTGCGGTGGGAGGTGCCTGGTGTTGTGGGTTTCTTAGCTGTGGAGCCCGTGATGAGAGGAATCGGGATGTCACTGGATGGGCTGTGGGCTGTGGCAGAGTGGGGTCCAGGGTGTTTGGGGCTGTGACCGGCCTGTGACCTCAGTTTTGGGGGTCCTGTCCCTAGGAGGGTCTCTGAAGATTTCCACCTGTTCCATGCAGGGCACCTCCCTAGCCCTTGGTACACCCATGGCTCAGTAGCAGATGACCCCAAGTTCCACTCCAGTGAGGTCCGCATCCTCGCTCAGATCCGTGTCCTCGACTCCAGAGGCCTTTCCCGGACACACACATCCAGGCATCAGCAGCTCCGTCTCCCGGGCATGTGGATCAACGTTTGGCAGTGAACGCCTACCCTCGAGAGAGGCTCTCAGTGCTTCTTGATCCTCGGGCCTGCACTGTCCCTGTGCTTAGGGTGACAGCACCTGCCGTGGCTGCCCCTTAGTACACCTCGCCCCTCCCCCCGGGTGGTGGGCAGCCCATCCCCACCTGCTGGCCTCCCCTGGTGCACCCGTGGGGCCACCTCACCCCTGCAGCCCCTGTGGCCCTGGGTTTGTACCTGGATCAGCCACTGGGTCGGGAATGCCTGTGCCTGCCTCAGGGCAGCTCTCCGTGACCACCACACGCGCCATTCTTGGTGAGGCCCCGGCCCTGACCGCCAAGGCTTGTCCTCGCGCAGGCCTGATGGCTGGCGCGGAGGCCCATTCGCATCCTGTGGGCCAGCTCCTGGGGAGGGATTTGGTAAATGTGTGAGGAGTTCCACAATCCCAGAAGGAAAGCAGCCGAGGCCAGGTAAGACAGGCTTTCACGGAGAAGCAGCCAGATTGGGGGTGACTGAGTTTCCTTCCTTCTCCCAGGGAGGGGCTGCTCCTCGAATGAAGATAAAGGGCGTGCTTCTCAGGTGTGCGGTGTGGACACAGGTGTGTGGTACATATAGAGGTGTATGGTACAAGTACAGTATGAGACGTACAGATACACTCAGGTACCTTACAGGTACTCACAGGCAGCTCATACTTGGCTGCTGCGAGGCTCTCGTCCTGCAGGCTTCTGGAATCCGAGGACCAGAGACTAGCTTGAGAAGGACCTTTGGGCAAGGGCCACGAGGACAGGATCTCGGGGGCAGAGGTGGAGGAGGGCGGGGCGTCTGCGCCTCACCTAGGTGTGGAGACTGTGAGGCCGAGGTGCTGTGGCAGAGAGAGAGAGAGAGAGAAAGAGAGAGAGAGAGAGAGAGAGAGAATCTTGAGCCTGTGGGTGTGAGCAGGAGGCCACGGGGTGCACCGGGGCCTCGCTGCTCCCCGCTGGCCCGGAGGGTGGGTGGCTCCCGGGGTGGGGCCAGGGCGGGGCCACCCCAAATGTAGCCAGGCTTTTGCGCCCACCATGCTCCTGCTCAGTTCATCCCAGGCCTGCCAGGGAGGCAGCCCAGCCCCACTGGGACATCAGTCCCGCTGCGGGACACCTGCAGGGCCACACGGGGGCAGTGCGGTGGCACCAGGAGCACTGGGAGCGGCCACAAGTGCCTGCAGGCAGGGAGGGCAGGACGGCCTTCGGGTCGCGCGCGAGGGCGGCAGGGGCAAGCTGGGGCTCCTGCAGCTCTTCCCTGCTGGGCCCTACGCTGGGCTGTGCCTGGGTCCGCCGAGAGCCAGGCTTCAGGCTTGGGGATGGAGACAGGCACCGACCCACCACCCCGGGGAGGAGGCCCAGTCAGGCTGGCGGCACCACACCGCCTCAACCAGTTGCTGGGGGCCCTCCTTCCCAGGCCCGGCAGCTCCTGGGACCAGCGCCTGGGGCCACCGTCACCCCCTTCTCCCTGCCCCACCCCTTGGCACCCACGACAGCTGCTCTGGTCTTCGGGAAGAAATCGGTACAGGGTGGAGTAAACTTCCCGCACTGGGGTGGAGCAACAGCCTGAATGCCAGGCAGGGCGGGGCGTGGGGCATGGGGCCTCTCTGGAAGGGGGCTTTTAGGTTGATGGAAGTGACAGCAGCCGGCTCTGGGGGACATTCCAGGCTCAGGAAACCACCTGAGGGCAGAGGCTGGTGGAGGTGTGGGTTCCAGGAGCAGAACCAGGGCCAGCAGTGACCGAGCACGATCTCTGACCTCACCCCACCCGTGACCTCTGATTTCACGGCACCCCATTCTACGACCTCTGACCTCACCCCCTTCCTCACACAGGTGTGAGGGGCCCTGGGAGATGGGGAGCTCTGCCGACTCCTGCAGTGTCTCCCCCTCCAGAACCACAGCTGGGACGGTTGGTTCTACCTTCCCGGGACACAGGGTTGGGGTTGAGACCCCGCCAGGGCTGGTGGAGTAGACAGAGGCAGCGGGGCCGCGCTGACCCAGCAGATGGCACTGCTCCGAGCGCCTGCCGCGGCCACGGGGTCCAGACCCATCCCGTCCGCACCCCAGGTCAGGCTGCCACCATCGAGGCCTGGGTGCCCTTGGCCGACAAAGCGTCCCTGGCCCCAGAGCCCCAGCCCACTGGCTGCTTTGCCCCGCCCAGGTGCCACGCGGCTGCCGTGTGGCTGTGCCACCCAGCTACACCTCCCTGTCCCAGAGCCTCTGTCCAGCCTCCTGGGGGATGGCCTGGGGACGGCACCAGAGTCCCTGTGGAGCAGACCGGGTCCCAGGCCCCACCCCTGTGTCAGCCGAAGGCACGGGCGCGTGCCTGCCACCCTCCCCTCCCCACCCCGACCCTGCTCCAGCACAGCGAGCTTGGAGCCACCAAACACGACCAGGAGGCGGGAGCCCTGCCTGCCTAGCCACACTCACATCAGGGTGGCGAGAAGGCAGCGGTGCAGCCAAGGTCAGACATCTACCGAGGGACACCTGGGAGGCCTCGCCACTGAGCGCCACGGCTGTCGTGGGAGTCCCGGGGAACCAGCAGCCTTCAGAGGGCAGCAGGTGTCGACTCTGGGTCCTGGCTGGCCCCAGGCGGTCAGCACCTTCATCTGTCTCTGGGGTGGGGCCCTGGTGGCTCCTGGCTTGGCCACCAGGAATGGAGGGGCGTGGACAGGGCACTGCCTCTTGAAGCCTGTGGATAGCAGTTGTGCCCACGCTTCCAGAAGGCCGACCAGGACCCCTTGGGGAGGCACTTCGAGCACCTTGTGAGTAGCTGTCCCTTGGGGGCCGGGTTTGGGCTCCTGGGA